GAACATGCCAAGGCTTTCTGGAAGTCTATAGAACCGCTTCCAGAGCCGAAATCTACATTAGTCGTCAGTGGAATAAATCATCGCCTTCAAACAGCGGCTAAAGTTCCGAACGGTTTGTAAACAGTGTCGATTCCGAGCAAAATAACTTGCTTATCGATGCTTAGCTTAGCTTCTGCTTGCGTCGCGATCGATCGTTTTTAAACTGATAGACCGTTGTGATTTTCTTTCAGGGAACAAATGTAATGATACTAATAGGACTCAGGGAGATTTCCATGAAAAGGAAAACGACCCAAGTGAGTACACTTCACCTCCATTATTTTATTTTATTTTGCAATTTTAATTAAAAGTTTATTGAGGCTTTTCTTTCTATGAATGACACTTGATTAATTCGATTTCAGGATTGAAAAAACATCTGGAGGATGCACAAAAAAGGAAAGAACAGGAAGAAGCAGATTACATACAGAGAATGGTGAGTTAATCTTATTGTAATAAATTTAAATTTCTATGAGGTTATTCGATTTCTGAAAGACTTATCCTAACTTTCTTCCCTGTTTATGTCTCTCTTTAATATCCGGCCGGATAGTTAAGCTTACTGATCAAGCTGAATCATAAGCTTGCAGTAAGGTTATTTCCCATTGTAATAGATTGGGAAACATGAACATCTTATTTGCTGGGTTTGTATCTTGCAGACTTTATTCAGGCAAGAAGCACAGCAAAGCCTGGCCCAAAGAAAAGCTGAGAGATTTAGAGTGAGTACGGGACCACCCAAAATGTCGAGCCTAGGTGGTTGCTTACGGGAGATTGTCGCTTACGAGAACTTAGACCATATTGAGTCAAAAATTTGCCTCATTTAGTATATGGTAATTGCAGACCAGACTTACAGAATTGCAGACCCCACATTTTAAACGTTTTATTCATGTGAAAAGTCAATTTTCGAGAAAGAAATCCGGTTCTTCCCATTGAGAAATTTCCATCTCTTACACTACTCAGGAATACGGTAATGTTACAACACCTTATTATTCAATTTCTGCTCTATTATCTCTCAAGTGGTCTATTACAGGGAGTTAAAAACAAAAGAAAAGTTCAAACTTTTAGCTATAAAAGTGGTCACAGCCGTTTATGAGAGGTGTTTGCTTACAAGAGGTTCCAAATACATGTATAATGATGTGACTTGGCAACTTTTGNAACCAGTAACCAGGACTTTCCAGGTTTTCCAGGACTTGTGCAAACCCCTGTAAATGTAATAATGTGTTCCACATGTAACATTTTCCACCATATATCTTCAACTTACTGGTAATTTAATTTGATTTTAATCTTTAGAGAATCAAGCGATGAGGATGAGGAGATAGCAGAAGCCATGGCAGAGATTGATAAATTTGAAGAAACTCTCAAACAGAGGGAATCCATCAAAACAGAACAGTTTTAAAGTTAACTCGCTGTTATTATTTAAGATTCAATTTTTTGGATGCAATAGCATCTTGTAAATATTTCAACTGTAATAAAAGGCAATATTAGTTTTTAACAGTATCAATCCTCTAAATTTCTATATTTATCCACAGCTGGCATCATTTTTTTGGGCTTTTGGGGAGTTTTGTGGAATTTAATGCTGAGGGTGACTCTGCAATGACTGGCATCCCATCCAGGGGGAAGAAGAAATATTCCTAGCTACTTCACGCTACAAAAACTGGGATAAGCACCAGCCTGATGGGCCACTTGGCTCATATGCAGACTTAACCTTACCTTACCTTTCTTTGAGACAAGTCAGTAGCATAGGGAATGTTGTCCTACATAGGGTTGCTGTTTTCACCAAAATCACTGGCAGGGCTTACACTCTGGCAATACTGTACACCCAAACATGGGTCAAGTGCATTAGTGCACCCAACCCCTGCCAGTGGGCTGCCCTGATCTATCATTACTAAGTCTTGTTTGCAAATGATAGGCGAACAGGTCTTGGTACCTGGTGTAAAGCACAGCTACCACACCCAAATTAGCAATTAACCAATTAGAAGGTTTACTCATCGCCCTATATTCTTGTGATATCAAGTCCGTGATTCAATGTGTTTAGAATTATGGTCCAATTTAGGTATGGTGAATAACTTATCACACGACCTGTTTAAATATAATTTGGTGGCATATCACCCTTGTTTGGTCTTTATATCATGGTATTGACTGAACTCGCTTGAGATGCTGCAGAAACATAACAATAACGTGTGATTGTTCTGTTGTTTTTCTAACTTATGATTGATTCCATTTTTTGATTTTGCCCAGAGGACAGGGCGTTTGGTCACTGCTGACCAAAATTAATTGTGGAGCCTCTGATGTAACACGGTGGATTAGGAGATGAACAGCGAGTAACAAGTGAATTGAACATAACTGAAAAAACATGGAACAACAACTGAGTTAAAATATAAAGCTTAATACAGATCATCTAACAAAGGAAATGTGAGGAAAGAAAAAGTACCATTGACGTGTAGGTTTTTTACTGTAGTACACATACTTAACCATCCATTACTAAGGAAAAAAACACTTAAACAAGTCAAGACAACAGACTATTTTTCCTTACTACAGCTATTCCCATTGTGATCCTCAAGCAAAGGCAATTAAACAAAGAAATCATTCTCATCTCCATTGCTACTCATTTTAAAATGTGCGAGAATGCAAACGTGCGCACGCGCTATGATTAGGTGCTCTTTCTACCTTCTTTTGCGCGAAAACTGCTGCTTGTCTCCAGGCGTACATTTCTTTGTAAAAATATAGAAATGTATGCAAGTTTGGGGTCCCATATTTTCATCAGTTTGCGACAGAGTCTTTCAAAAATTCGCATATTTACCAAATTTGGCATGGTGAATTGGAGGTGGGTTTTTAAAATATCGTTTTCCAGTTGAAAGCAAACTAAAAGAGTTGAGGTTGCAAGCCAAGCGCTTCCGGTTCCCGGCCCGCTTCCTGCTTCCCGCTTCCCACCTTCAGTTTTCCCGCCATTTCCGTCTTCTACCCGTTGCCATAGCATCATCACATAAGTCACGTGACTTTTGTCTYTACGCGGCCATGACAGTCGTTCAAAACAGTGCTCATTCTGGAAATTTATTTCTTTGCATACCACTTTTTTAAGTCAGAGTTTCTTTAACTTTTGGATTCATTGATTGGAATGACAATTACTTCAAGGATGTCATACGAAGCCTCTTACGTGAAGGCAAGGAAAAAGTAAGTGGTCTATAGCATCGATCGAAGAAGTCTTATAGACGCAAAGCTTAATAATTAGCTTATGTAGTCTTTATAGAATCTGCAGTCTTTCAGACAGTTTGAAATCAATACAGAATTTAATAAGAAAGGTTTTAGTTTGCAGCTCACTAGAATTCACTAGAAGTCTTGTCTTTGAGTTCAATCCAGAATTTAGTGGAAAGGCTTTGGTTCGCCAATCTCATGATGCATTATTAGCAGATTTTCTACCATTAATTAAATTGTCTTCAACGTGATTTTAGCTAATATTTAAGATCATGTTTAAGCTTAGTACGATTTAACGCTTAAGTCTTAAATCACTGATTTTATTCAAGCTGAAATTTTCAGTAATCTCGGCATGATTTAAAAAAAACTTTTATCAATGTTTGCATGGCAAAGATATTTGGCGTCAAGTACATTTCGAAAGTTTCTTGACTCTCAAACGTTGTGCCACATGTACAAGCTTAAGTTTGTTTATAATATTGTATCGTATTAAAATCTCTCTCGTAGTTTTAAGATCAGTTATTGAAATTGAACTAATTTTTCGGCTTTGGGTCACCTTGATATCATCAAAATGAAGTTGATTATGTTATGTAAAATTTGATTTTCCTTATTTTAATTTCATTTTAGTCTGTCATGAAGCATTCTCGCCTGCAATGCAGGTGTTTTTTAGCGGTATTAGCTCGCAATCAAGTAGATTCACCACCATGTTGATTTAGAAAAAGGGGGCAGGGAAACACCCTCTCCCTAGGACACCTCTTTGTCTCTCCCCAAGCCTCTTCCAAGTTTGAATCCAAGATGGCACTCGCTTGGTCAAAATGCACTAGCTCACCAAAGTATGCCTGCATCGTAGGCTAGAAGCATTCCATTTAAGAAACTGAAAACATTTTATGTGTTTCTATATTTGAAGTTTAGTATAAATCATGAATGCCATTCTCTTATTGGCTACGCTACTCACTATCTATTCTGTTTTAGTTTAAATCTACTGGCATTCTATCATGAACGCTGTTCTCTCATTGGCTACACTACTCATCATCTATTCTGTTGTAGATAATGAGTAGAGTAGCAGTATACCCTTGTTAACAAAATGACAGCTTTTTTGCATTTTCAAGGTGTCTGTGAAGAGGATTCAGATAAAGTTTTGAATGACTAATTGATTTATACTGAAACAACTATATTGTTTACTCTGATTTCTAGGGGTGATAGTTGACTCAGACTATACCCTCCTTGACTACCACGCGATAGAAATCTCCAGCTCATAATCTAATTGTTAAATAGGTAGTGAGTAGCCAAGCAGTGTGCGGTTGTCAACGAAATGGCAGCCACTGTTGCAGTATACTCACTATCTATTCTGTAGTAGATAGTGAGCACCCTAGCAGTGTGCATTTGCTAACAAAATGGTAGCCACTTTATGCAGTTTTAATGTCTATGAAAAGGGTTTAGATAAAGTGAATGACTAGTAAATTTACATCAAAACAATTGGATTATTTCTTCTAAATAAAAATAAATAAAGTGTCTTTATTGTTCAAAAGATAAAA